ATGCTTATATAATCTTAACAATGAGATCTTTAATGCTCTGTCATTTTTGACAAAACTTGGCCCTCACATTAAGAAGCTGACACACGCTTTGCAAACACAGACACATCAATAATTAGTAAATTAAACAATACATATGCCAAAGGGGAAGGTAAACTTGGACTTGGCACAGAGAAGATACCATATCACAAAGAGATGGCAGAAAAAAGAAGAGAGAGAGAGAAATTAACCTACAAAGCTCCTCAATGAATGACTTTTCCAGTAGGAAATGCAGAAAACTATCCTGCAATTCATGGAAAAGAATACGGTTGCATATTCTGGCACTTCCTTGCCTTTTGACTTTTGCCTTGACCTTAAACTCTTTTATCCTCTAACCTACGTAGAAGGAGAAAGCAAAGTGAATCCTGAGCAAACTGGATTTGCTTGATAGGGGAAGCACTTCACCAGAGCAGGTACCAAACCAGCATATTACCTATTAGCTTTGTGATCCGTAACAACCTCCTCCCTGGTGGGGCAGGTTCAGGTTGTGCTGGTGGTGCTGGCACATTTTCTCCACTCTGCTGCATCCGCAGAGCTTTCTCCTGCTTGATTTCTTCCAAGGTTTTAATATGCACTTCTCCTGCTGGCTTGGCTTTACTTGTCAGCTCTGCCAGCTGCACTTTGCTGGGCACAGATGGAGCAAGTATGCTTTGCTTCTTGGGCTCACTCTCAACTTTTGTCTTGGTAGGAAACTCTTCTGGTTTTTGCTTCTCTTCTTCCAATCGCTTATGGTTTTTTTCAGCCAGGGCTCCTGAGAAAGTTTTGATGCGAACCGGAGGTGAAGGTCTTGCACCGGAGCTGGGATCTTCTGTTTTACAACGTCCTTCAGTCTGGGGTTTTGCTTGAGGTTCTCCTCGTCTCTGAGTAGCTCTCTCAAGACGAATTTCCTCCAGTGTTTTCACATGGATCTCCCCTGTTGGCTTAGCAGCCTTCTCTGCCGTCATCAAAAAAAGGGAAGCACCAACATTTAAAGAGTCCAACAATGTTTAAAGTCTCCAAAATTTGTCACAGTACTAAGGAAAACTAAGTCTCAGTGTTCCCGGAGAACACATCTTAGGACAGTATCATTCTACATAACATTCTCCTCCTCCTCCTTTAAGCCACTCGTATTTTGAAAACCAGTGCTACCCAGAGAGAGACCGGACGAAAAAAAAAACAGTCTGTTTAATTTTGTTACTTTCTCAGACTGTGTCTCTCTGTTAGTGTCTCAAACTCCTGCTCCTGGCAGTAGTTCTAGTCCACTTGTGCATAAGCAGATTGCAGCTTCTGATGGTTCTCAGCAGGAGCATGAAATCTTGACGAGGCACAAGTGGAAAACACAGAAACACATAAAGCCACATCTCTGACAGCAGCTATGAGGGCAGCTTCAGCATTTGAGCAAGGGGAATCAGGTAGGTTTTTTAAATTAACTTTTAGGGCTGTATGGAAGTTCATGAGGGAAAAAAAAAAAAAGGAAGGCATACCTAAGGTCCAGTTATTACCTGTCTCTGTACTGGTCTGTTCAGAGGACAATCCCAGCCTCTCCTTCAGAGACTTGGGGACTTGGACTACAAGACAGAACAGAAAAAAGTTAGGGAGACTGCATAAATCTCAATTTTGTGTTGACATTTCAAAATGAGACAAAGATCACTCCACTGGAATTCCAAGTTACCTTGAGCCCTCAACCAACATGCAAAAAAGAACCATTAGAAGAAAGGACAAACAGAAAACCTAACAGAGAATCTGTGCATGGAATCCAGGTGTCCGTTTAGAAGCTGTACCTCTCTTTGGTGCTTTGTCAGCATTCTCCAGAACCTCCATCTTCTTCCCTAGCCTTTCAGTAAGGCTGCGCTTTAGTGGAACGACACTTTTACCAGCTGGTTTCAGAAAGAGAGAAAACAAGAAATACTTTAAGAACATTTCTCTGGAGAAGGATTTTAGAAGTCAGCCACAAAACTTCAGTTCTTCCAGATGTTTTCTTATATTTGCCTTTCAGTTACTAACAAAATTTGCCATTTCTGCAGTCAACACAGATTTCTGCCCAAATGTATTTTCCTCCCGCACACAGCAAAAATACCCTTAAATATAGTGATGTTTAAATGAGGGGACCCAAACAACAGCTCACAGAAAGCTCTTACCTGTGGATGCTTTTCGTTTTCCCAGTCTCTCAGCAAGATTCAGTTGAATCACAGGCTCCTCCCCTAAACCAAAGATCATCTCTTTAGTGCACAGAAACCAGTAGCCAGTAAAAGCACTGTCCTTCTAGCCCATGTCCCCAAAAAAAGTCACTCTTTTGGTAGTCAAACCACATAAAAAAAAAAAACCAAGTAGAAGTAGTTCTACACAGGGTTTTTTTTCCTTTAAAAGGCAACTTCAGGAAGATGAAAGTCAAATTAAGCAGAGCTGAGAGTCTGTAGAATGGTGATAATGTATCATTAGCTGTGACTTAATGTCACGCTGATGAAAACCAATTCTTGATCTTTTATTGCAATACAACAAACTGAGCACCTACAAATGCCAAATCATTCCGATACAACCAGGAACTCTAAGCATAAAAGCATGGTTTTAATTGGAAAAGGCAGCACCAGACTTAACATGTCTGAATTTTGGGTTTAGGAGCCATGAAATGGGAACAGTAGTATTCACTATTACCTTGCTTTGTAGACAGAGTCACAGTTCTCACTACTGTCCGAACATTTTCCTTTTCTGGCACAGGAATAGTCCGAGACTGAAGTGGGTGAAGAGAAACTCCTGAAGGACCTTCTGATCAGAGCAAGCAAAACAAAGTATGTTTAGGAAAAAACTCAACTAAACAAAACAAAAGAATTATCATGAAGACTAAAACATTATTCATTACTGCCCAATATACCACGACCAGTGCACATACACGAGAGAAACGAGCAGTTTCCCTCCAATTTGCCCTTGGAATTCCAATCTAGAATATCAGCTGTTTGAGGTTAAGAAAATAAGTTGCATGCCAAAGTAGCTCAAGGGTCCCAGCTAAATATGGAAGTCTGTCCCTCAAGCAGCTCTCAGCTGCAATCAGAATGGTTTGGGCTGGAAGGGACCATCTAAATTCCAACCCCCTGCCATGGGCAGGGACACCTTTCCCTAAATCAGGTTGCTCAAAGCCTTATCCAACCTGGAATTGAAGACTTTCACTCTGAACCAGATAGCACAAAAAAATTTCCTTTTTTTTGCAAGTAATTGCATTCACCAAAGCATAGCCAGCTATCCACGTAATATTTCTAAATATTTCTAATAATAAAAAAAAAAAGACAAAGGTGAGCAGAAGGCAGAAGGATAAGTAGAGTATAAAACTCACCACCTTGTTTTTTTGTTTTTTCCTTTAGTTTCTTCAATTTGATTTCTTCAAGTGTTTTTATTCCAAAATTTAAATTGTCGTCTGAAAACACAAAACGGTTTATGAAAATAAGGCTTAAAGGCAGATGCTGAAGAACGCAGATCCTCAAGCTTCTTGCAGCTCAGAACTTTCCCAAAGTATTTTGAATAAGCCCTGTTGACGCTCCCCATAAGTCAAAAAAGTCATGGCACAGATGGTATTTTGGTAAGCAACTGGCACCTCTCTTCACACCCTCCTCCCACTCTTCACGGTAAAACCTAGAGTTTTAAGCATTTTAATCCATCTACACGACATTAGAGTCCTACATCATCAGACATGGCTTTCCACAATGCCTGAAAGGACACATTTGCAGGCATTTAAACTCCACTCTGTGGTTTTATTTGGTTCTTACAAAAGTAAAAAGAAGGAGTTTATCTGTCTGACCTAAGGCACACATGACACTATCAGGCAGGAATGAGCTCATGGAATTAACTGACTCCATCTAGCTACCCTGTGTTCTACTCTATTTTAAAATATAATAGGTTTTGAGTTAATTGTCAAATTCTCCTTCCAATTCACCCCACTACAGCTGTTATAATACCTTGCTTTGTATTAGCACTGGATTTCCTAGTGGAAATTATCCGCAATCCATTATGGGCTTCTGTAGTTGGTTGCTGGGCAGGTGTTTTAGTTTCGTCTCCTTCTTCAGAAAGCTGGTCTGAAAGGCAAAAATAAACCTATTCAGTTGCTCAGTAGGGATTAGACAAGATGTTTCATGTTTCTGGAGCTCATACAATTACATTTCAGTCCATGGCTCACACTGTGTTCGTACTCTTAACTACAAACATAAACAATTGTTTATAGAAGTATTTTTTTTAAACAGCTATATTGACAAACTCATAAAAGGGCTATACTGGGAAACAACTATTCAGCACTCCAGACTCTCACCTGTAGCTTTAACCACTACACAATTCAGGTATTCTGTGACTTATACATTCACTTACAGTAGAAATGCCTTCAATAAGTAAAGAATGCTCACCATCATCATCTTCATCATCATCTGCAGCATTGATTACAACTGGAGGATGTGTAGGACTTGGGACATTTTCAGAGTTTTCCACTTTCATCACCCCCCTCAGCTGTGGAGAGGGATTTGACTGAACAGAAAGTTTGTTTTGCTGCAGTGACATCTGAGCCAATTTCACATCGTCTTCTGCAGACTCAGGTGGACTTGGAAGCGTAGCTAGAGGAAGAGGAGGATCATCTCTAATTTGGTCATTTAAAACTTTGACCCCAGTGTTGTACACGGTAGATAACCCACCTGGCTACTGAACTTAGAGCTTCCTACTCCCCACCTTTGGTTACACTACAAACAACATTCACAAATTTCCCCGCCCTACCACCCAGAAAGGATTAAATGAGGGGAAAGCAACCTGAAAGGTAAAGATCACACAAAGCACAGAGAAGCTGAGCATGAAAGAAAAAAATTCAATACCAGAACTACCAGTATTGAAACGATTCTGTTTAGCTGAGAGTCTGTGACTGCAGACTTCTCCCTGTGCTCATAAATGAGCAGTTACTTGATGTCTTCTACAGTTTTGTACCCACTTGTAAGTAATATCCAAAACTAATTATTTAATATTTAAAAAGGACCTAAGAAACTCACTTTTGCTCGGCGGTAAGAAGAGTCCATCAACGTAACGTCCTTTCGTGTGATGAAAAGCACAGTTGGATTTTTGACAGCCTACTGGTTGATTCTCCCAGTAGCAAGGAATCTCGCTGCGTTTTTTCTGGCGACAGAAATGAAAGAAATGAAAGCTCATGGTAACACTCGCCTCAGGTTTGCACAGAAACACAGTTTCACACCATGCCAGAGACAGGGCTATTGCAGCACAGTGCTGAAACATCATTTCAAAGGTTGATTTATTACTGAAAGTATTTCAGGGCATATACACAGAGTTTGCATAAGCTGTAACAACTACACATCATTTAGCTTTCCTATCATTCAGTTGGAGAAGACAGGCACTCTCACAGATCAAAACCAAATAAAACGTGCCAAATACTGGGATTATTCAGAGGGAAAAGCGTCTTAACTTGGCTAGGTTAAATCTATCTGAATCTATCTTAGTTCCTCCCCATCGTTTTTCTCCCCACCCTGTACCACCCCAGGAGGCCAGAACAACGTTATCTGAAGAAATGCAGGACAGAAGAGACCCAACAGACCATTATCAAGCCTAGCCCTCAGGAGGCTCGTGCAGGCTGTTTACTATCACCTTGCTCCAGCACAGTTAAGAAGGCTGATCAACATGGTTCCTTTTACCTCATAAGAAAATAATGTCAGCACCTAACACAAAAATTTCTTGCTGAGATATACCTAAGAAACTGATTTTTCTTCCCCCAACTTCCTCCCGCTCCCCTCCTAGTAACAAAAACCAGTCTCATTTCAAAGCAACTACATCTATTGCGTGGAAGCACACTCAGTCCACCCACAGGAATGAAAAATGTGTTCAGAGATTTAGTTTGAGGACACATCTTTAGGCAAACACTCACATCGATTTCCATGTGTCTGAATCTGCAGATGTTCCTGAAACAGCGACCCTCCTGCCAGAGCGTGCAGACTGTTTCGTTCCCCAGAGCAGCTTCACAGTGGCGAAAGGAACAGCTGTCTCCCTGTAGCCAAAAGGACATCAACAAAAAGGAAAATAAAACAGTACAGCCTAAAAAACGTTCGAGCTAGGAGAAATGGAAGCACAATCTAACTGCTTATTTAAGTTACCAGAAATCTGTATGTCTCCTCCCACTCTTCCCTCTCCTCTCAAAAGCTAAAAAGGGAAAAAAAAGGCAAAAGAAACCCAAACATACCTTGTTACACGTGGAATAGAAATAGAAGTAGCAGTCATCTCCTTGGTTAGACATAATGAACAAATTCCTAGAACAAGCTCAGGTTCTAAGGGCTCGATCAGCAGGGACTTCCTCCACTCTTGGCAAGAGCTGGCTTCACTCTTTCTTGGACTGAAAGTCTTCTACTGGCTTGATCAGTGAAATCTTCTTTTTAAAAGTAACCCTAAAGAAAGGCATCAATAAGTGAAATAATTAAGTAATAAGCATTTTTACAGCCACTTTCTGTTAACTAAATTAGTCTCTTGAGGGGGGGAAATGTTTTGAAATCAACTGGTTGCAAAAACAATCCCAATACTAAGTGAAACTTCTGTAAAACTGCACAGGTTTTGTCAACAAATGCTCTCTTCTGTGCCTTCAGTAACAGCCGTGTGCCTTGGAGCACAGAAGAAACTACAGCATGTTGCTGCAAGCCCAACCATAGAGCCACTTCTTAAAACACTGGTTGTACACGTGAGTTATCAGTCAACAATTAATCCCAGGTATTAATAACTTCTATAGGATACAACAGACACATTAAACATTATTTTCCAATCACTGAGAGTCCTCAAGTTCACATACCTGGGCAACTTCAGCAAAGATATCGATCTTCAAAGACTTCCAGTTAACTTCTCCTGTAGGCCGAACCAACACTGAATCCGTGAATTAATAATAAAGGGGTAGGAAGAATTTTCCTCCTCACATTGCCAAGGGAACCTCTCATCCACAATTCAAATACAGGATGTGCTTTTAAACATCTTACAACTAATGGAGGAAGCAAGTCCGTTTGGATACTGTCAGACTGGAGACAGCCAGGGTTAATTAGCTCTTCAAAAAAAAACAAAAAAAAACCAAAAAAAAGGAAAAAACAACAAAAAACCCAGTGCATTTAAAGATGAACTTGTGATTCAAAGTGGCTGCAAAAATGAGGATCCATCTTCCACAGCCGGACAAATTTAATTTTTTTTTTTTTTTTTTTAATTTAAAATTCAGTAAGTTGCAATTTCTGGTCTTCAAGATTTCTTCACCTATTAAGAAAACACAAAAATCTTCCCCCATCTTTATTACCTGTACAGCAAAAACACACTTATGCGTATAAAAACACAAATATGTATATACATACACATATGTGCTCATACACACACCAAGAGTGAGTGATAAAGTCAGCAGGAGCAACAGTAAAAATTAAGAATTTTGGGCTATTTGCCACACAAGACTGCATAAAAAGTATCTCATTTTGAGGGAACTGGCAAAAACGAAAGATCTACATAATATTTTGGGGAATATGCCTTCAAGGTTGATGCTTTGGAGCATGAGGGATTTTGGGGCCAACACACAAATCTGCACCCATATGAACATGCACAGGGGATAAACATCCCTACACACACGCGTGTGCACTGTGTGTGTTGCAGATGTGCCCGAGACCAACTTCCAGCCCTGATCAGACCTGGGCTGCAGTCCACAGATAGCAGGAGGACAGCAGATCGAGGTGCAGCAAGCTTGGAGGGGCAGGGAAACGCTCACTTGGCAAGTGGCATGGCTGCATGAGACCAAGAATTTGGAATTATTTTGATTTTAGGACTTTTTTTTTTTTTTTTTTTTTACATCAGAGCAAACGCTAAGTTTTCCATCACATGCTGCTCTCTAATCCATATATCCATCATTATCCATTGCTGCAAGATCACAGAAGGTTTGAAAAGATGGCTTAGGTCCAATTTAACAGCTGATGATTTTTTGGTGCCACCAGAGCTGAATCTGATTTTATTCAGCCACAAACAGTTTGGTTGGTTTTTTTGTTTGTTTGTTGTTTTTTTTTTTTTAATGTGAAGTCAGATACTTTGATTCTTAATTTATAAAGACACCAAATGCCATAAAACCTGCAACCAGACCAGATAAAGTTCAAATTAAAAGTGATTCTGACCCCTTTCATTAAAAGGCTGCACGTTTCTGTGCAAAGTATTTCTGACTTTTTTGTACAAAAATAAATGAAATAGTTCTTATAAATTAATAATAAAAGGTTGGAACCTTTTACTCACACAAACACTAGTGAATTTTCCAGGATATTTTAATTTGGCAGGGAATTTTCCCAAATCTAAAACAAAGAGAGGAAAAGTTGGGTTCTCGTGTTAGTTACTGTTTTTCCAACTGCTTGACAAAGGGAACAAAACCAGTAAAGTGCAAGGTTTTCCTCCCTCTCCAGTACCAACATGACTCCTCACTTTTGACCTTTAGCACCTTCCAAACAGCCTGCGTGTCACCCAGATTCCCCAGCACCTACTTCTAAAAGCTACTGGTGCTCCTTCACGTGGAAGTTTGACAAGAACCATTTTTCCAAACGTGTCACTAACACTCTTGACAGTTAAATTTAATTTAAACACAATTGCTTCAGTTTGCACAAGCCAACGCTTGAACGGGTGGCAATTATGGACCACTGCTTCGCTGAGCAGAGGCATCAAATACAAACCAGGAGGAATTAATGGTCTAGGAGGTGACACTGCTCCCTAGGAAGTGAGAGAAATCCCTATAATGCAACATTACTATATCCACCACCACGGGGAAGAAAAGAAATCAGATTTAGCTCTTTTGAATGCCCCAGCAGCTCAGCATTTTGCTTGTTGCCTTCCACATTCCCTAGCAGACTTCAAGAGCAGTTTGGAATTTGAATGGATCTTGTTTAAGGAATGGGAAAAAAAAAAAAAGCAAAACTTTGGAAAAAAAAACCAAACACAAAAACTCCTGAAAAAAAAAAAAGAATCAAAATTCTAAACTCCACAAAAGTCTTTTCATTTTAAAAAAGGTTAACTCAAAAACTGTTTTTTTTTTTTTTTTTTTCAAACTGGTATCAGTTAAGATGGCAATCTGAGTGCTAAGCAGAAATCAACTGAACTAACCCCTGAAAGTCTGAATAAAAATGAGTAACTCTGGTGCACTCAGCAGATCTCTAATGGAAGTTAAAACCAATTTTAAACACTTCTTTTTTCTCCAGAACTTTAGCTTGGTTTTTGCACTAAGATATTTTAAATTAATTTTGTTAAAAAAGAAAAAGAAAAAAGAATTACAGATGCAGTAGCTAGAGATCAGGATAAATATGCCAACAAGTGCCATGAACTTTCCCCCTGCTAGAGGAAGATAAATAGTGCAATGAAAGTCTGTCTAGTTTGTTTTACAAGCTAATCTTTCCTGGTACTGAAGAACCAGTCCTAGTCCCTGGTCTAACTCTCCACCTTCCTGGCCCGCCTTTGTCCGGAATCAAAGAGCAAGAGAGGAAGAAAATTATTTCTGCATTTCAACAAATACATAAAGTCAGTATTACTGCATCTGCCTATAGGTACTTGTTGGTTATAAACCACAAAGTATTTCGCTTGGACAGGCTCTCTTGCTGGCCTACTCTGTGCCTTTTGTTTCTTACAAAGACACGATGCACACATAAACCTGAAGCACAGACCACCTCTTGCCAACACATCTCGTTTTCTGTACTAAAACCTAAAGCTCAGTTCTCCAAAGCTGAAGCAGAAGAGTTTTAATTTCTACTCTTTAGATCTCAGCTGATTCTAGCTGTTAAATACTGTCTAAACACAGACTGGGGGCATGTTCTCAGATGGGTAAATCACTCCAGACCCTCTTGGAGCAAAGACTGGAAGGCTGCCAGCCAAGCAGGCACAGGTTAAAGCAGATGATCATCTCAGCTTCCTCCACCACTGAGCTGGGGTCACCTTTCATCGTGATGAAGCAGCTGATCATCTCAGCTTCCTCTACCACTGAGTTGGGGTCACCTTTCATCATGATCTGAGAGCCAAAGCTGGGAGTTACTACAACCATGAGGCACAGCTGCCCCTGGCTGGCTGGAGCAACCCCATTTGAAGATGAGCCACTTCAGGGACCTGAATGAGGACATCCTGCCTTAAGACATGGATGAGGCAAATCCATTTGTTCCTGAAGGGGCCGACTGGCCTGGTGCTTCCGTAACTGTCAAAGAATAACCCTGAACTGGAGCACTCATCAGATCAGACACTGCTTCAGTAAAGAATTATTTGTCTTTAGCTTGACACATCAAGACTCAGGAGAAGGAATTCTTCAAAGCAACCTTTAAAGCAGGGATCTAGTGAAGTGGCCAAGACAAAGCATTCAGATCGAGCACACCACTCTGTAGGAAATCAGTATCAAACCTAAGATATTTCACCCATCTCCAAGCCCAAGAGTGACACTGGAAGTCTTTCCACATGCTCTGCAAAGCCAGAAGGAGGTGAGCGATGGCAGCACCTAAGAACTGCAATTCCTCACTGGCATCCACCTGCAGGCCAAGGATCTTCCACCCATCAGACATTGGGACCACTGGAATGAGCTGAGAAGAGCCCCATTCTCCCTCCCAGGAGGATGCCACTCCACCTCCTGCTGTTCAAAAGCCATTTTAGCAGATATAAATTAGAGAGAGGTGCAGTGAGTAGCTATTTCCTGCTTTGAGTGATCCTGTGGAAGACCGTTTGAATGCTGAAGCTCCTGAAGAATTTGATGGGCCTCAGCAGAACGAGCAAGCAAATCTCCTAAGCACCTGCTAACCTGTTCCCAGTGCTCCTCTTCTCAAACTCCTGACTCATTAACTTCAAAATACACGTAAAATTTGGCAGCTGGCAGCACCAGCAGCACTGTCAGAAGCTGGAAAGCCAAGGGTGAGGGGATTAAGAGAAAGCCACGCATTCATTTGGTGACTTGGTTCTGGTAGGACACTTCCCACTGCAGAAGTTTTAGCAAAACCAGTGGGAGGGAACTGCCCGTTTTCCAAAAGGAGACTTCTAAAGATATCCAGTGGGTCATCGCTGCCAAGTAGTCCGTGGTTGGCTCAGGGTCCAGGTACCAACAGTGAAATCCCGATTTCTGTGTTGTGCTTTCTCCAGAGCCACAAAAAACGTTTCTTCTCCAAGGCTGTACAGACACACGTTACAGCTGACTGTCTAGCACCACAATCTGTATGAACTTCTAAACGAGGCAGTTGAGAGTCACCGAGTCCCATAGTTAAGATTAATGTCCTTTCTTCTAACAAGCACATGCTCAGTAGGCAAAGATGGAATGGGAACACCCATACCTGGAGATGTTAAAGGCTATTTGCTGAAAAGAAATAGCTCAATACATCACCTTCACGGGGCAAAAATTCACGTGGAACAGTAGAAAAATCCAGAAACGTTGCAAGGAGTGTACCGGGTGTACTGAGGGTCAACTGAGAAGTTCCAGACAACAGACGTGTTTGTCTTAATTTCTGACATCAAAAGGCTTTTGTTGGTATTGCTGTCATCTCCCTCTTACCTTCTCCAGATGCTCCAGGATCTACAGCTGCAAAGGCTGCTCCAGTACACCCAAGGTCTACAGCAAACCTCTGACAGCTTTTACCCAGGCACACCTGCAGTCCACTCCTTCTTCTCTTCCAGCTGAAAAGCCAGGCTGCTGGCTCTGCCACACCGTCACTGCCAACACGAGAACCGGGAACACGTCACATTCCCATTGCTAAAACTGCAGTCCGGGAAGACGGCTGCCACAGGGACATCCACCCTCCCTTACAGCCGAGATCCCTGGCTACTAGCCACAGCCCAACGCACACAATGCTCTGCTGGGTGGTGTCACCAAACAGTCAGTGCCCCCTAGATGAGTACCTGGCTTGCCACGGCTGATTTCTTGGTTTGCTTGTTCTGGCTGTGGCACACCAGGTGAACCACAGATCCAAAGTTCCATACAATGGAAGTCTTTGCTCTTCTTCCAGGGAAGGGTGCAAGCTTTAACATCCCGCATCCAATAAGGAAGTTCTCTCCATCCTGCTCGGCGGCAACAGGCACGACTGCAGCACACACAGGTGTAGCAGCACCCGCAGGTCCCAAATCCTTAACAAATTTTTAAATAGCACCAATTTTTAATGCAGTGGCTTTCCCTTAATGCGTAACCCCTTCTTTCCTATGTTTTGAGTTGGTGGCTCTCCTGTATCGTTCTATCTACCAGCTTTTCCTCCTCAGTGTCCAAATGGGCATCAGGAA